ATTCTAAAAAGAGCAAGGTTTGCAGGAGTTTTATTGTTGCCGAACCGCAGTTGATTTACAGTCACGATTATAAAATATATATAGCTTCTTTCAACTTAGCGTACCACGGCTTTACAGGTATTTCGTCGTGGATACCTCCATACCACTTACATTTGTTTTCTTGGTATTACTTCCACATATCTTTTCATAGTGAATGAGTATTCTTTCTTAAAAATGTTATATATGGTGCGCTTCTTGAGATCTTCTAATCGGCGAATTTTAATGGCTATTACCAGTCCGTACTAGTTCATATAATGATTTCTTATATTTACGTGAACTACACATTAACGTCGAAGGAAACGTCGGGAATTAAAAAGTTAAATTAAACGCGATAAAATCCGTAAAAATTAGTTTCATTTATTGTGTAGTCTTCGCGTAAATATAAGAAAAAAAAAATTCTACATTCGCCATACGAAAGACTATTTTATCACGAAAGCTGCTATTTTATGGTGGTTTATGGTATTCTGTGAGAGTGTGGTACTATCCCGGTCGAGCCGATCCATTAGTGCTACAACCATAATATAGCTGCAGCGTGGCTCTACCACGTTTAAAAACTGTCACGATTAAGGCAAATTCTCACGACCACACAGCATCATAAGGTGATATAGTTGATGTTGTGCGTTGATGGTGTAAGATAATCCACTACCCCATATCCTCTCATGGATGGTATAAGAGGCGACAGAGGGAAATAAACTAGATGTGCAGCAGTCTCCCTGATTATAACTGAAAATAATAAAATACCGCGAATGCCAACCCACGTGCATGGCAACTATGGCAACTATGGCAATTCATAGGGAAAGCCTATGTTCAGCAAAGGACTTTTAAAGGCTGTAACGACGGTGACGATAAACGGCGAAGCGAAAGAAAGAAAACATAAACTAACATTTAAATAAAAAAAAACATGAAGGTGTAGTCTGTTTCCATAAGATGTGAGCCGGGCGCTCTACGCGGCGGCGACGCGTCGGCGCGACGAGTCGCAACTTCCTTTTTAATACAGTTGCTCAAAAAGTGGCGTATTGCAGGGACGTATAGCGTTCGGGATGTGGGCTATTACATACTCGAGCTCATGGGCATGCAACTTAGAACATTATTTTACGAACAAAATGATACGTTTTATGTGCTTCCATCTACATTCCGAAGTGCTACGCTAGACTTATTTTAATCTCACTAGAGAGCACACTTATATATTACGTCTATGCATACGAATTATTAGAATACGAAGGTAAATTTCACCACTACTTACAAGGTACAAGGTTACAATAGCTCAGGTGGGTAACCGGGCCGTACCGAAACCAAAAGACCCCGGATCGAGTCCAGCAGATGTGTATGTGTATTTTTGTGTAATAATAATATATAAATAATATAAAATATATATGTAATTTAATAATATATAAATAATATATATAAATAATGTGTATTTTTCCAAGTTCGGATTTTTGTAAGAATTAAGCGCCATCTGTTCGGCAATGCATGACACTAACGAAAATTTAATTTAAGTCGCGCATCTATCTCTAGTATATGTACAGTAATTGTTACGGCCTACGGCTGCTCCCATAAAGGTCAAGTCCTCCGGGGCCCATCAGCGGAGTTTCAACGAACAGACGTAGGTCGGGCCTCAATATGGCCGCAGTGGAAAATCTCTAGTTACACTAAACAATATGGGAGGAAGCTAGAAACACGTAGTACTTACCATTATCCGAAGCTAACTTCGCACCAAGGCTTGGGCAGGCCGTGATTGTATGTAATAGTGGATGGCGAGTAGTGTACAGTGAGGTGTGAAGGTGTGGGGCCTTGGCAAGCATAGACGACCAGCAGCGGCCGAGTTCCAGGCTGCTCCAAAATGCTGCACCGCTTCAGACTGCTTCGGCACCGGACCTCTTCTTCGTTCGTCACGATGGCAGTCCATTAACTCTATCGTACTATTAACTAACTTACAGAAGCCACTAACTCTCGTTTGTTATAAAGCCTAACACACAAAATGAACAGGGAGTGTCCGGATCAAAGGTTTACTACTACCGCTTCGCGTAGCAACAGTTACTTCTAGAATATCAAAGGCCGCACTAGCTAATATTGTCGAATGCACTTATACAGATTCTGAGTCGGACCCAATAAGTCCCGGGAAAGGCTATCCAACAAGGAATGCGCGTTATAAATCCTAGACAGGATGTTTACTAGACGCCTAAACTATTCCGCGGTTCCCGAACAAAAATGACAGTGTGCTGTCCTTAACACAGCTGACAGACGACTGACTTGCACTCGCGCGCGCTCGATACCTCCAACTGTCAAACCGGTATGGCACCGAGCCGCGCACCCCCTAGACGTCGATTCCGACAACAGCGTTTGGCGCGAACAGTAATCTATGCTCGAGCTTTTTCTTTACCTTTTCCGAACTCTTGCGTTCTCTTTCCCAACTGTCAAAATAATGTCTATTAAAAAGAAAAAGCACACTACGAAGTTCTTACTAAAAAAAATTCATAGAAGTTTTTATGATTCATGCAAATATTTCTAAAAAGAGGCTACTAATTTGTTTCAATATCACATTTAATGATTTGAATCAATGAGTTAGGTTAGGTTTCATTTCATTTCATCTCATTAAATTCAATTTTCATTTCATATCAATAAAAAAATTCTACTGAAGACTTGGCTGTATGGGCATAGTTCCCTTTGCCTACCCATAATGGGTGAAGAAAACAAAAAAAAACTCCGCTTATATTCTTTTACGGTTGGCGCCATTTTCCAAAAATGTTCTTTATTAAATTGCTTCATTTTTTCGCAACTGTATTAAAAATAGTTGTTCAGTACACGTGCGGAGTCGTCATTGCAACTTGTTCCGACTGTCAACCCTCACCTTCGGCTGCGCCTCGGCTCGGGTAGACATTTGTCGGAACTCTTTGCAATGACAGGCTTTCCGCACTCGTAATGAAATATACTATTCCCGCTCGCACGCGCGGCCCGACCGCATTAGTTCGCCTAGTCGCCTCGCCACTCTCGTCGCTCACTCACTCGACTCGAATATTTCACCGAGTCAGCGTGTATTGTTGTGTGGTGTTAACAATGGCAGCAACTTTGACTGTCGCACGTTGCAAAATTCCATTCAAAACAATAACTGCTCGGGGCAAGCTGAGCAACAAGGCCAAGACGACCCCTGCTACATCAGGGGACTTCACTCGAACCTAAACGCCGTCCACTGCCATCTCGAGACGGTGAAGCCAGCCTTGCTCTATCTGACCGAGAGGCAGACGTGTCCTCTCCGGCTAATAGTTCGTATCTCTCCTACCCAGGGTACAAATTGGAACACTCCTTGTGCCTCGGGCTCGAGTTTGCATATACATCAGAGAGGACATCTGTTCTCGACACTTCGGCAGTCTTGAAGGACCTGTCCATCCTACACGTAGCCAAACGCGTAGACAGCGTCGACTATCCGCATGTTTACGGGTGCCTCTATAGGTGCCATAGCAGTAATCCCGAAACAGACCGATTCATCGACCACGTCCAAATGGCTACAGATTCCTTGTTACAGCAGATCCCATCCGCAGAGATCGTGATCCTCGGCGATTGTAACGCCCACCACGCCGAATGGCTCAGTTCACGTTTAACCGATCATACGGGGAGATCTGTTGATGACTTTGCCTTGGCATATGGTCTGACACAACTGGTTAATTCGCCTACGCGGATTTCAGATGTGGAAGATCATGCACCTTCCCTGTTGGACCTTTTGCTGACCTCTCATTCAGATCGATATCAGGCCCTCTTGGCTCCTCAGACCACTGTCTAGTCCGGAGTGTGGTGCCACACTCACACTAACATCGCGATTGCATTCTGCAGGCTGGCTAACATAGGCGACCGCTCAGACCTGTCTACTTATGCCTATCGCCATCACCTCCTTATTCTCCTAAATAATGAAATCCATTATAAACTGCCAGCTCAAGCGGTATATTGAGGATCACGAGCTGATTAGTGACCGCCAATACAGTTTTCGTCGGGGTCGGTCAGCTGGTGATCTTCTGGTCTACCTGACTCGTAGATTTGCGGAGAAATTGCGCAATTGAATCACCAGCTTTCTTGCAGATCGGAGCATCTCCTCAGTTTTAAAGTACTCCCCTTGTTACCTAAGCCAGTATTGGAATCCTCGACGTCGACATATCGAGTGACATGCAAGTTTCATGGTCACTTGGAAGAGAAGGCCAAATTGGACTCTAAAACGCTTTGCGTGCTCAGCAGAGCGGTACAGTATTTCATGACGGCACACCGCATGCAACTTTCCAAGGCGCAGGTGCGGCCTCACATGGAATACTGTTCCCATCACTAGGATGGGGTTCCCCAGGGCTTTATTATAAATATAAAGCTGTTTTTAGTACCAACAATATGGTTTTCTTTAAGTTTTTTTAAGAAACTTCTTCCTGATAAAACAATATCTAAGGCCTATGGCCAGCCACGCCACGCCGGCGCCGAGGAAATGTTCAGGCCACGCCGCCGCCGTGGAATTGGCCTTCGGCGCTCATATTTAGTTTCCACTAACATCCCATACGGTATTTATTCCAAGGTTCCATTTTTTTAATTAGCTTCTTCAGAATAAACGCAGTTTCAGTTAGCACATAAGGCACGTAAAGCGACGCGCTCATTTGTAATTAAAATTATGTTAGGCATTAAATTTACTGTGTATCGATTGTACTTACCTATATCTATTTTAGTTATAAATTTGTTTTAAAAGACGCGGAGCCTCTGACGTGCTCGTCGGTGAGAACCTCGTCAGTCTGCCACTTTATGTGAGTTGATGCGCACGCCCATATTTTGTCGCACGCAGCCATTTGTAAATTCGCTTTTATTATTAAATTGAGTACAACCATTATTTCGCAAGGTTATTTCAACCTCCAGCACGGTCCTGCAGCACCTAAGATCTACAGTAAAGGTTTTTCTACTCGTTATATAATCACATAAGAAATTCACAAAAAATAGATTTTATCTGGTACACTTTTATATTTACATAAAACACGTTTACATAATATTGTACATATTTTACCAGATAGCTCACGATAAAGGTTTTGCTCCATTGTGTATTTTCATATTATGCCTTTGCAAATCACTTTTCCTAATACAGCTATATTGACAGATATTACATGAAAAAGGTTTTTCTCCGGTGTGTACTTTCATATGTTGTTGCAAATAACTTTTTATACTACATCTAAATTTACAGATATTACACGAAAAAGGTTTTTCTCCGGTGTGTATTTTCATATGTTTTTGCAAACTACTTTTTGTTCTACATCTAAATTCACATATATTACACGAAAAAGGTTTTTCTCCTGTGTGTACTTTCATATGTGTTTGCAAAGAAACCTTTGAAATACATCTATATTCACAGATATTACACGAGAAAGGTTTTTCTCCGGTGTGTATTTTGATATGGGTTTGCAAACGAATTTTTGTAATACATCTATATTCACAGATATTACAGGAAAAAGGTTTTTCACCGGTGTGTGTTTTCACATGTGTGCGCAAACTACTTTTTATACTACATCTAAAATCACAGATATTACACAAAAAAGGTTTTTCACCGGTGTGTCTTTTCATATGTGTTTGCAAATGTCTCTTTGTGATACATCTATATTCACAGATATTACAGGAAAAAGGTTTTTCTCCAGTATGTATTTTCATATGTATTTGCAAACGACTCTTTGTAATACATCTATATTCACAGATATTACACGAAAAAGGTTTTTCACCGGTGTGTGTTTTCATATGTATTTGCAAATCACTTTTTCTAATACAGCTATATTCACAGATATTACACGAAAAAGGTTTTTCACCGGTGTGTTTTTTCATATGTATTTGCAAACGACTCTTTGTAATACATCTATATTCACAGATATTACACGAAAAAGGTTTTTCACCGGTGTGTATTTTCATATGTGCTTGTAAACTACTTTTTAAACTAAATCTAAAATCACAGATATTACACGAAAAAGGTTTTTCACCGGTGTGTCTTTTCATATGTGTTTGCAAATGTCTCTTTGTGATACATCTATATTCACAGATATTACACGAAAAAGGTTTTTCTCCAGTATGTATTTTCAAATGTATTTGCAAACGACTCTTTGTAATACATCTATATTCACAGATGTTACACGAAAAAGGTTTTTCACCGGTGTGTATTTTCATATGTGTTTGCAAATAACTTTTAGAAATACAGCTATACTCACAGATATTACACGAAAAAGGTCTTTCACCGGTGTGTTTTTTCATATGTTTTTGCAAACGAAATTTTGTAATACATCGATATTCACAGATATTACACAAAAAAGGTTTTTCACTAGTGTGTATTTTCATATGTGTTCGCAAATTACTTTTTGTATTACATCTAAATTCACAGATATTACACGAAAAAGGTTTTTCTCCAGAGTGTATTTTCATATGCCTTTGCAACTCACATAACCTAATACATTTATATTCACAATTATTACAACAGTACATTTGTTTAGCGACGTGTGCTTTAACATGTGCCAAAATGTAACGTTTTTGAGATGTTTTAAATTCGCAAATATCACAATTAAATATTTCTGTTTGTTGTGGTACTGCAGTTTGTTCTACTTGTGTCCGAACTGCAGTGGTGTCTGAGTTCTTTTGCGTCTTATGACTGTATGAAATGTGTTTAGCGAAAATGTCTTTTGTTGATGCCCTGGATGTATTTTTCATTGCAAGATGATTTCCTTTTTCATTAATTATTAGATTTGATATAATAGTAGGGCCTTCAAAATTGACATTTTCTTTACGAACATCGTTTATGTTACAATCAGTAGAATTTGATTTAATCTTCTTCTCAGACGGTTCTGAACAACTATTTGTCGGGGTGATGTACTGTTCTGAAATACACACGAATTAAACATTTTATTTACTGTAACACATTGCATCTTTATTGTAAGACACCATTAAGTTTTTGCCGTAGCTAAGAGTTAATGCCGTATGGCATTATTTACCAGTTATCGCAGTGAGAAATAAAGAAATTATAATATTTTACATAATTATACTAAATAATGTTAAATATTTATTATGCCAATTACTCCGAATAATGTCTCTCATATTCATTTTTGGAGGGTAAGAATGGTTCTTTTGACCATATTACAACTACATTAATCTAATAATCGCTGTTTCGAATTCCACACAGAACTAGTGTTATACACACACGGTCGCAGATGGCGTGTAAGTGCGGTATAAGAGAATTCATCATCACATTTTGTCCCGTGGGTTTCGTAAGAGGTGACTATGGGTTTTCCAGAAAATCTGATGTCTTGCGACAGATAACGGTATAACCACCTCGTTTACTTCAGATGTAAAATATCCAGACGGACGACATAAACGTATCAAAAAAATGCTTCCAAAAATCAAAAATGATTTATTTCTGTAACATACCAGGTTTACCAACACATTTTAATAACATTAGTAACAAATATAAAGTGTAGCATTTGTGATTACTTATAAAACCAGTCTACATAAGATTACTAATATAATTTGTTTGTGTGTGTGTGTGTAAATGAAATATTGTGTCTGTTCTGCAGCAAATCAGAAATTACTTCAAGCCAAATTTTTAAGTTATATGAAATAGGTATTTATAATTTGAGTGTCCACTGTTAAGTAATATTTTCTAGCTGTTTGAGTTTCTTTGCAGTCATAATAGTTTATATTTTTATTGTTATATTAACTTCGTTATAAAGCTTAACCGACATTTTTAGATATTGTTTAGCTGCAAAAGCTGTCTCCATCGTAGTGGTGGCAACGACTATGGTGTCTTTCCTCCTCTTAGTCAGTATTAAAGGATCATACGGTAAAGATTTATGTAGCTTAAGTATGCAATTTAGAATGAATAGCTGCCTTACTGTCAACAACTCTCTATAAATGTATAATGTATTAGTTGGGAATCGATAGTGTAGGAAATGCATAACCTTTAGCAGAGATCTTTGGGTTCTTTCCACTTCCAGGAACTTTATTTTAGTGGCTCCACCCCATACAGGAATACAATACAACATTACTGATTGTACCAACGTAATATAGACACTCGTTAACAAGGTCTTGTCAGCGACATGTCTAAGGTTTTTAATATCCATGTTAGTTTTCTAATCCTACTCATCCGTTTATCTAAATGTGGATGGCATAACAAGCGCTGATCAAGAACCACTCCCAGGTATTTAGCAATCACAACATTCTCAAATGATTGGCATGCACATTATGAATTTTTTCGATTTCTGTAGTTATGTATGCTTAATAAAATGTCATCACTAGGTTGTGTTCTTTTATCAATTGTAAAGCACATAAAATTTGTAAGGGTAAGAAGATTTGAGTTTAACCACTGAGCAATTATTTTTAGCTCCTCTTCCGCGATTCTTTGGACTTCAGTCCATGTTTCAACAGAGAATACAATAGCTGTATTATCTGCGTAAGAAAAAATATTGACATTTGCGATTTTAAGGTTACGCAGATTGTTGATGTATATCAAGAAAAGCGATGGACCAAGCACACTTCCCTGTGGTACGCCATAAGATGTGTCAGTTAACGTGCTTGTATAATCACCCAATTTTACCTGTTGTTTCCTATTTTGGAGATAGCTTATTAGTAACGCTAGAGAGGCATCTCTAAAGCGATATCTCTCAAGCGTCTGCACAGGAATGGGGACAGAGACAGTATCAAATGTTTTTTTAAGGTCCTGGAATACTGTAAGGCATTTACGACCGTTATCAACATTTTTGACTATTAGATTTGTGAGAGCAGTAACTGCATCTTCGGTTGATATTCCACGTCTAAAGCCAAATTGTGAAGCAGAAAGAATGTCGAATTTATTTAAATAACCAATTAGTCTAGTGCATATCAGTTTTTCCAAGACCTTCGAAATTGTAGTTAAAACTTATATAGGGCGATAATTGCTCACACTATCTTTGTCACCACTCTTGTACACTGGAGTAATTATTGCTCGTTTTAGAGCATCAGGAAATATTCCTCGTCGGAAACAAAGATTGGCTAGGTGGCAGATAATGAGCCATCTTCAAGAACTTAGGAGGAAGTTTATCCCACCCAGTAGCGCTATCTGTCTTAAGACTCGTAATAATAAAAAGGACTTCTTGATGGTCAGTTTCAAGCAAGACACAAGAGGTAAGTTGTCGAGTAGAAGATAGATTGTGTCTACAGAGATTACTCTTTGTGATGTTCAAAGAACAAGGTTGGGTTGCCTGGTGGTTAGCAAAGAAGTTGTTGACAAAGTTAATTGACTCAGTTGGTGAGGGTTTTAAGTTTAAAAAGTTGCTGTCAGTGCTTTCACTCGGCTTATAGTTAGCTATTTTTGTTGATACATTGCCAACAAGATTTAGGGTTATTTTTAGTTTTAGCGAGTTGTTCTCATTTGTATTTCCGTTTTAGCTTTTTAATTAAATTGTTTATATAATTTCGGTATCTTCTGTAGGTTATTTTAAGTGTTTTATTTTCTGGGTCTAGACGAAGGTTTTTCTGCATCTTATTCCGGTTATTAATGCATCGTACAATGCCTTCTGTGATCCATGGCTTGCACTACTATATATTTTTTGAGTTTATATTATTAGAAAGTTTTAACAAGAGTAGACAATGATCTTTTTTTAATTTATTTAATTAAGCAAGTAACAATTTGCATAAGGTGGGGAGCGGTCTTTTAAGCACCTTAAGGCACTTGTGTCAGACTCCCGCTCTTCCATAGCCATACAAAACTTTCTAGAAACATAAGATTTCATATTATACAAAAAAAATGTTTAAAATTATTTAAATACTAGCTGTGCCCGCGGCGTAGCTCGCGTATATAGGTTTTACTTGGAGAATTTGACATTCAGGTAAGAAAATATTAAACGATTTATATCATTACTGTATCAATATCACTTATTAGACTTCAGTGTAACAGACGTCTCTGGTTAGTGCGTATAGTTAGTGACAAATATTCTATACAATGTACAAAAACAGACACAACATGTTATCACCATTTTTATTATAAGTATATATTTAAAGAGACATGGCGCTGCTAACAGCAATCAATTCTAAAAATAAAAGAGATTAATTGACGCGATTGGTACATTATTATATATATATAAAACATAAAAGAACTTATAAACCAGTGTCTGCACAGTAAGCAAAACGCCTTTTTATATTACATTTGGACCATACCGCCATCTATCGATGAAATCGATTAACTATTTCACTTTAGATTTAGTTAATAAGGTTATAATATATTTTTGTATATTATTTTATTCAATACGTTCTTAAATACTTTTGTTACTATTTACTAATTATTCATCCCTTGTAAATAAATCTCAAGTAATTGACTATGGGATCATAAAGCAATAAACATAGAAATTGATACGAGTAATTTATTAATAAAACAAAATATTACGTACTTTAAACAAAAAAGACTATTTACCAATGTTAATATAAATAAATTTAAGGAATCACTAAATAAAATAAAATGGGAGAATATAATAAACAGTAATAAAGGATTAAATGAAAACTACTCGCATTTCTTAGCTAGTTTAACAAAAATACTGAATAAACATATACCACTACAAAAAATTAAAATTAAAAACTACAGTACTAAAAAAAGTTGGCTGTCGATGGGATTAAAAAAATCGTGCAGACATAAAAGAATATTAAAAATAATGCTAAATGAAACTAAAAACAAAGTTATACGAACACATTACAATACTTACAGTAAAATGTTAAAAAAATGTATAAAAATATCCAAAAGAATAGATTACATTAAACAAATGCAAAAATCTGACAATAAAACTAAAACTATGTGGAAAATTATTAATAGTAAAACCGGTAAAAATAAAATAAAATTACCTCAAAATATAGTTTTAAAAGAAAATAATACATTAATTTCTTCCCCCCACATCGTAACAAATATGTTCAACGAGTACTTTGCCACTGTAGGTCAATGTTCTTTTTAACCCCTGTTGATCCAAGAGAAATAATGAATATAATTAAAAATATTAAAAATAAACATAGCTGTGGCATTGATGATATACCACCAATCCTGGTAAAGAAATGTGCACAAATATTAGCTATCCCTTTAGCTTCACTTATAAACCAAAGTTTTGAAAATTCTCAGTTTCCGGATGCACTAAAGATTTCATTAATAAAACCAATATTTAAAAAAGACGACCCGCTAACGCTTAGTAACTATAGACTAAGCCATGTGTAACCGACTCTACCATTATTTAGAAAAATACAATATATTAGACGAATCACAGAACGGTTTTAGAAAAAGTAGATCAACAACTCTGGCAGTATATAAATATATCCAAACGGCAGTGCAAAATATTGATAATAAAAGAGCCACCATAGGCCTCCTTTTGGATGTGACGAAAGCATACGATAAAGTTCAATTTAATATACTCCTAAATAAATTAAAGGGTTCGGGAATTCGTGGAACGGCCTATAAATGGTTCCAATCATATTTGACAAACAGGAAGCAGATAGTTCAAATCGAACACAGCAACGATGAAAAACGGGAAATCGTTGTAGTTCAGTCCCAAATCCGGGACCTCACATGTTCAATCCCACAAGGTAGTGTCTTAGGATGCCTATTGTTTTTAATATACATAAACGATTTACCCAAGATAATAAATAACGAAAACACATTAAGCGTACTGTTTGCCGACGATGTGTCAGTGTTAGTGAACTGCGATAAAGACACAAATTATAACTATATTGTCTACAACACTCTACAAACTATAACAAATTGGCTTGAAGATCACAACTTAGAAATTAACTTTAAAAAGACCAAAATTATGCAATTTAAAACATATAAAAGCAGCCCACTAACTTTAAACATAAACTTTAATAATATACAGCT